AGCACGAGCCGCGCGGAGGGGGGACCCGCAGGCGGAGGGGGCGCGGAGGTGTGGGGGGCGGCAGTGCGGGGGTTCGGGTCACGGAGGTGGGCGCGGGGGGACCCGCAGGCTGGGGGCACTGAGGCGGGGGGGGGGGGGCGGGGGCAGAGATGAGGGTGGGAGAGCGGAGAAGGGGTGGGGCCGAGAAGGCGGGGGTCACGGAGACGCCGGCTGAGCTTTGGGACACGGGGAGGGGCCCCCCAGGACGTGCGGCACTCGCGGGTGGGCCCGTGGCGGGAACGTGAAAGCGCGCAAGGAGGCGGGGACGCGCCGGGCCCACGCGCGGGGTCAGCCGGCGCGGGGCCATGCTCAGCAGGTGCGGAGGCCGCGTGGTCGGGCCGGGCCGCTTTGCACACTCCGCCCGCGCCCGCGCCCGTGCCCGCGCCGCCGCGACCCCCGGGCAGCCGCCCGCCCGCCCCGCGCGCACCGGCCCCGGCCCCGCCGCGCCATCTTGCCCGCCGGGAGCGGGCGGCCTGGGGCCGGACCCGAGGCCCCTCCCACCGCGGGAGCTGGGGGGCCGGTGCAGCCGGGTGTAAGTTGGCTGTTACGTGGGTGCCCCCTCACCCATCCCTCCATTCATTCCCGGCCAAGGAGCCAGGCGCTTTGGCAGGCCCGGGGGTGGGGGGGGGTGGGAGTGGGGGGCGGGGAGGGCTGGCTGGGCTTTGCGCAGGACAGGGATCAAGGTCATGGGCAGGGGCTGGACAGGGACTGGGAAGGGATGGGGAGGCCCCTCAGGCCCTGGGAGAGGGCACCCTTCTTCCTTCAGACATTAGGGGTCCCCTGCTGTGGGTGCCCCCCAGGCCTGCGGAGGAGGGGGACCTGGGGTCCTTGCTGGTGCTGCCTGGCTGCTCCACAGAGAGAGAGGTCGTGGGGGGGGGGCAGGTGCTCAGACCCCAGGCTGTGGCCCCGGAGCACCCCAGTGGGGCAGGCGGCACCCCCAGTGGGACGGGCTGAAAGCCGCCTCGCGCCCAGGTGAAGCCCAGCCCACACGGGAGATGGAGACACTGCCTCTGGGAAAGGGCAGAGGACTGGCCCCAGCTGTGCCGGACCCCAGGCCTCACCTGTCGGGGGGGCAGGGGGAGCGAGGGCCTGTGAGCAGGGCGCGCAGGGGTGAGGAGGGACCTGCCAGTCTGGGGGTGACCACGGGCCAGCCCACCCTGGGATCCCACTGTGCTGGCCTCTGCTGACTCCAGGATAGTGAGAGTCCCTGGTGAGGTGCCCTCCCCCTGAACAGGGGGGCAGGGGGGACATCCCAGCGCCCTCCACAGGCCCCGCAGGGGCCCAGCCCCACAGTGGGGGGTCAGGGCGCCACACACCTGTGTCACCACGACCCTAGGGGTGCTCGCTGGAGCGGCATCTACAGGGGGGTCACGGGGCCGAGACCCAGGACAGCTGAGGCATGAGCCAGGCGAGGGGGAGGCCTCCCACGGCAGGGCGTGGGGGGGGGCACCCCGGACTTAGGTGACATGAGGCACCAAAACCTCAGGTGAGTGGACCCACACATGGAACATTCCCGTCCATAGAAGGACACGCTCCAGACACAAGGGTACCCACACAGGGTTCCACGGACGTGAGGGTCCGGGGCCATTTGAACCCCCACACGGAAAGTAGCCGGTCCCCCAGGGAGGGGCACGGGGCCTCTGTGGGGTGAGGAGTCAGAGGCTGTGGTTGTAAACAAATTCTGAAAGCAGCCATTTGCCCGGCCGGAGTGCTCAGTGGTTAGAGCACGGGCAGGTTGCCAATTGGATTCCTGGTCAGGGCGTGAATGGGAGGCAACGATGGGTGTTTCTCTCTCACATCAACGTTTCTCTTTTTTCCCGCCCCCCCCCCCCCAAGCGTGGCCTTGGGTGAAGGTTAATAAATAAAAAAGCAATTCTAACCACCACCACCAAGGGCCCCCCTAGAACGTGAGCTTTACGGTGTGAGCTACACCCCAGGAAGCTGCCACAGGCCATCTGGGGACCAAGGCCCTTTCCATACCACGAGTTCCACTTCAGTGCAGCACCTTCGGCCTGAGTTCCTGGGGAGCAGCCTTTGTGGGAGCAGCGGCACCCGGCTCCTCGGGGCCTCTGTGGGGGACCAGCCGTCGGCTTTAGGGCCACCATCACGCAATCCGGTTTGGCCTCATCTTAACTCGGTCCCGTCAGCAAAGCAAGGCCCATCCCAGGACGGCGGGAACAGGGACACAGACATACATGACTTTTGGGGTCACCAGTCACCCCACTCCAATGGTGACGGACACAGGGGCAGGCCGTGGGGAGGGGAGCAGCACCATGTGAAACCTATAACCCCAGGTCCAGCCCACACACCCACATACCGGGCACCCCAGTGGGCGTCACGGGGCCCAGGGACACCCCTGCTGGCCAGGACTCGCCCCCCAGGTGCCCTGTGAGGCACATTGCCCCCCCATGTGTGTGGGGGGTGGGTTGCTGGAAGGGGAAGGCTGTCCCGGACCCCAACTGGCCTGAGGCAGCCCCTCCCGGACAAGCCGGCCACTGCAGCTGTGCCCCGCAGGGTGGGGGTCAGGGGGCCACCCACACTTGCCAAGGAGACCTCAGAAGGCCGGGTAGAGCCACCCCAGGAGAAGGAAGGTGTCGGGGTGCCAAGCTGGCCTGGCCAGGGCCCCCTATTCCCCAGGGGACACGCATATCCTGGGGGGGGGAGGGTGGCCTGGAAGAGCTTCGTCCTTGAGTGGAAATGGCTGTGGGAAGAGAAAAGCAAGTTTCGTCCATGTCTGTCTCCAGCCCGGCACGACTGGGCTGCCCCTACAGGGGTGCCGGCTGAACTGGGGTGGGGGGAGGGGGCCAGGAGAGCCACCCCCTGCCGTCTGCCCAGTGCCCTACCCTGAGGGCCACACCTGAGCCTCCTGGACACAGACAGCAGGTCCCCGGGCTCTGGGTGGTCCATGGCCCCCAGGCCGGCTCAGCCCAGCGCAGGGGCCAGTGGCCGGGGCCAGGGCTGCGGGCGAGGAGGGGCTGCCCGACTGTGGACAGAGATGAAACGCAAGGAGCAGCCCAGGGACCGGCCATCTGTCATCTCGGGGCAGGTGCTGCTCTAGGCGCCTGCGCGCTCACCCCTCCCCCCGTCCCTGGGCTGGAGGCCAGGACAGCCTCCCTCCCTCCCCCTGCAGACCCTCCGTGCCGCTGGCCTCATTATGATCGTGTTTAATTCACACTTTATTAAAAGCACCATTTCTCACTCTGCCCATTTATATTTTTGTAACGTCACGTGAGAAACCACGGTTCGCGGAGAGCCCGGTGGCATTTCACGCGTTCGGTGCAGCCGCGCGGCCGTCTCCTCCAGTGTCTCTGTCGCCCCAGATCAAGCCTGCTCCGCGCCCTCAAACCCCAGCGCCCTGTGGCCCCTGCTCCCGCCCGGCGGCACCAGCCGTCGCCTCTTCTGGACGCTGACGCGGAGGAGCGGGGCACGCGGTGCGAGGGGCCTTTGTAACTGGCGTCCTCCACGCGGCACGAGGGCGGCACGCACACGCCGAGAACAGTCCCCCCCCCCCCCCGGGGCACACACGTGGGCGTCCATGCTGCCAGGACGAGGCCGCAGTGTGAGGGCTGGGGCACGGCTGGGCTGGAAGCTTTGGGGTGACCCTCCGGGAGAAGGTGCAGGCACATGGACTCTTCTGATGCTCAGCCTGGTCACCCCACTCTTGGGAGACACGGTGCCCTGGACAGAGACACCAGAACGCCCTCTGCAGTGACAGAAACACAGGACCTGCTGGGGGAGAGAGGCCGGCCCTGCGGGTCACAGCCCTGCTTCCCGTGCCCGCGGAGCCCTCCTGGCCCGGCCCCCCGGCCCCCCGCCCCCAGTGACCCTGGTGGGCCCAGCCACCACCTCGGGGACCACGAGCCCCTCACCCTGTGAGGCCACAGGCAGGTGGACCTCTTGTGACAGCAGAAACCCTGTCTGCTCTCTCCACCCCCACCCTGGGCTCCGGGAGGCCAGGCACTGCCAATGCCCAGCCTGCCCAGCCGGTTGGGTGTGCAAGTGCCAGCGAGCCCTTGGGGGGCACCCAGTGCCAGGCTGGAGTGCCAGGGAGGGCTGGGGGACAGCTGCAGCCCCAAGCTGTCAACAGGCCGGGCGGCCGCAGGTATAAAGGCCCCCAGCCTGACACGCCTCCCAGAGCCTCGAGGGAAGCAGGCGGAGGTGAGCCCTGCGGAAAGGGGTGGCTGGGCCCCACGCGGCTCACCCTGATCTTGGGGTGCCGTCCTCACCCACAGGACAAGGGGAGGCCCTGGGGTCTGCGGGGGCCCCAGGGAGTCCAGAGAAGGCGGGAAAAGGAGGAGGGGGGCAGCCCCGCGGGAACCAGCCTGGAGGCAGCTGCGTGGCCGGCCTGCGAGGGGTGGGCACGAGGCCTGTGCGGCAGGGAGCGTGGCTGAGTCGGGGTCAGAGGGGGACCCCAGGTGCTGAGTGCGGGGCGAGGACCAGTCCAGCCCAGGCCCCTCCGACCCGCAGGCCACAGGGCTGCCGCGGGGCGGGAGCATGTTCCAGAAGGCTCCACACCCGTGAACTTTCCCGAGGGCCAAGGAGCCTCTGAAATAGCTGCTTTCCATGAGCCCAGAACCCAACCCCCCCTGGGGACAGCAACCCGAGAGCCCAGCAGCGCATGAGGCTCCGCCGTGAGGGGCACAGGACAGCCTGGTCCCGGCTGCTGGCCCTGCCTGTGCCCAGACCCCCACCCGCCCAGCTGGGATTCCTGCCAGCCTCGGGGCCTGCCTGGGGGGGCTGCTTGGGGGGAGGGCCTGCCTCGGTGACCCCGCATGAAGTGGGACAGGGACACGCACACCTCGCCAGAGGCTGTGGGCAGATGCACCTCAGCGGGCCCTTCTGAGGCCGGGACAGGGGGCGGGTCACCCTGCTAGATGGGGTCTCTGGGCCTCCCTCAGTCCAGCTCCAGATGGGCCCGGGCCCAGCATACCCCAGAGTCAGCATCCAGCCAGGACGACCGGGACCCCCTGGCCTGGGGTCCGGGAGTGTGAGGCCAAGCCTGGGCCTGAGCTTGGCCGGAGGAGGTGGGGCTTCAGGTCACCAGGGAGGCTTCCCGGAGGAGGCAGCTTGATGGGCCTTGAAGGACAGCCCGGGAGCACGGAGGGAGCAGACGCTGCCACGGCCACCCCTGCTGAGCGGAGAGGACTGTGTGCGTCACCTGCCACTCGGACCCTTGTCTCTTCTGTGACATGGGGGAGCCCCTCACTGTGGCCAGCAGGAGGCGGGACTCAGACTCGTCTTCCTCGGGGCCTGGCACGGGGCCTCTGCAAGGCCAGGGCCCCGAGGGCAGCTGGGCGTCTGGTCAGGGGGCAGGGTCCCCACGGAGCGCCCTCCGGCTGTGCCCGCGCTGAGCTGGCTCCTCCCCGCAGGGCCAGCATGGACGACGATTTCTCCTCGCAGATGAAGAAGGTGGCCTTGGCCATGGGCACGTCCCTGTCGGACAAGGACATAGGCCTGCTCCCCACGGACGTGAGGCACCACGGTACAGCCCGCCCCACGCACCCCGCCCCCCCGCCAGGTCTCCCTTGGCCCGGCCAGGGCGGTGACCGCTGACCTCGCCTGCTCCCCCAGGCGCCTTCAACTACCTCAAGTTCTTCGAGCACATGCAGAAGTTCCAGGCCTCGGGGCAGCTGGAGGGCGCCATCCGCAAGGCCTTCCAGACGCTGGACAAGGACAAGAGCGGCTTCATCGAGTGGAACGAGATCAAGTAACAGCTGCGCGCGCGTGGGGGGGGGAGGGGCGGTGCCGAGGGCCACCACACCCGCCCAGCAGACCCCGCACCCTCCGTGAGCCCCACTGACCTCTCGAGAGGCGGGGCCACAGGGACAGCACCAGACCCGGCCGGCTGGGCCGTTTCCCCTGTAAAATGGGCCCTTTGTACACTGTCGGGCATGGCGGACACCCCGGCTCTGACCGGAGCCCGCCTGGCCCAGGTACGTCCTGTCCACCATCCCCAGCAGTGGGCCCGCCGCCCCGCTGACGGACGAGGAGGCCGAGGCCATGATCCAGGCGGCCGACACCGACGGCGACGGGAGGATTGATTTCGAAGGTGGGCGGCGCGGGCGGGTCTCTCAGGTCCCTCTCGGTCAACCGTCCCCGAGGCAGAGCGGAGTGGCTCCCCGCTGCCAGGCGCTGACCCGTCCCCCCAAGCGCACAGCCATCTGTGATGGGCACCCCCCCACCTGTCAGCCGCCTCTTGCTGGTCTAAGCCCCTGAGGCTGCAGCCCCCAAGTCACAGACAGGGAAACTGAGTCTCAGAGATGCTGGATGTGAGGGGCCCACGGGGCTGGCTTTGGGGAAGGTCACCTGGGCAGCTTCAGGCCGAGTGTTGAGATTATGGGGGTGGGGGTGGGGGGACACCAGAGGTGGACGCAGGAGGGAGGTGGGCTGGGGAGGGCTGCGGCCTAGGCAATGGGTGTGGGTGGGGGCTGCCGTGGGAGAAGTGGCATTCGTGGGGCGGCAGGCCTTCCTGGAGGCTCGGGTCACCCAGCTGCCGGCCGCGGGCCTGGAGGGCAGGCAGCCAAGTGGCCCTGGGAAGGGGGAGCACAGCCCAGAGCCCAGACACCCTGCCAGCTGTGGGCCCCCCCACCCCCAGGCCTCCACATCCCCAAACCCTGACCTGTGGGGTGACTGCAAGGCTCCACAGGCTGAGAGGTTTGCTCAGGACTTAGCCCCCAGCCCCTCCCTGCCTCAGTTTCCCCACTGAAGCGGATGTAGTCTCTCAGGGAATGTGCAGGGTCCCCACAGAGACCCTCCATCGTGAGCCCCGGGCGGGCGGGCGCAGGCCCCCAGGACTGTGGGGTCCCTGCTCAGAAAGGGGGCACACCTATTGGTCGGGCCTGCAGGGCTCTGGGGGGCACAAGGCAGGGGTCACCTATGGAAACCTGTCTCCTGCTCCAGAATTCTCTGAGCTCGTCAAGAAGGAGAAAATCCCGAAGAAGAAGTAGCCCCACGCCCACCTGGCCAGCGAGGGGCCGCCGAGGCCGAGGGTGGAATAAACCAGCATGATATGAACGACCGGGCGTGGCCTGTGTGTGGGGAGCTGCGTGCTGGGGGCAGGCGGTGAGCGGGCCCAGCCCTTCGTCTGCCTCCTGGTCCCCACGTCCCTGCAGCTGCCACAGAGGGTGCCCGCCCCCCTCCCTGCCCCCGGCTCCACCCCAGCTGGGCTCTGCTCAGGATTCGTGCCAGGCCGGTCCCTGGGCCACCAGGGTCCACAGAGCAGCCGCGTGAGCACCACTCGGGACCCTGCAGCCCCAGGGGTGGCCGAGGGGGACCCCGGCGTGTGCCCTGGGCCACGCTCTCCGGGCTAGACACGTCGAGGGTCGGTTCCCTGCACCTTCGCCTGCTCCCCCTTCTCCCCAAGCTCTTCCTCAGGAAGAGCCCCCGTCCCCGCCTGCCTCGGCCTCTGCCCGCCCCCACTCCCACCTGTCAGCCGCCTCTCCTGGCCTAAGCCCCTGAGGCCGCAGCCCTCCCGGTCCCTCCTGTGCTGGGGGCTCTTCGCCCGTTCTGTCTCCCTGACCCCTGAACGGCTGAGCCCAAGGCCCAGCCCAGCCTCCCCGAGCCCCACAGCCCCGCCTGCCCATCACTGGACCCGTCCGGCCAGGAGGACAAGCCCTCTGCGCAGAGGAAACGGAGGCCCCGAGACCCCGGGGGCGGCCCCCAAGGAGCCCGCCTCTGCCCCATGTCCCGGTGGCAGCAGGCCTGAGGGCGACGTCTTACAGACAGACGTTCTTACTGGTTTCAGAGATGAAGGGAGAGAGACAGAAACATCATGGCCCCACAGGGGACGCCCGCAATCCGGGCGTGTGTCCTGACCGGGGCTGAACCATGACTTACAGGTTCATAGTTCAATACTCAGCCACTGAGCCCGCCGGCCGGGCCTGAGGGTGACTGTTACTGGGACTCACCCCAGCAAGAGCCGAGTCCCCAGGGCCCTGGACAGTGAGGGAGCGGCTCCCCTCCATGGCAGCCGCAGCAACCCCACAGCAGTGGGTCCCCCACCGTGCGAACAGGAGCGAGCTCCTGGCCAGCGGCCGAGGCCCCACACCTGCGGCCGGGGCAGCGCGTCCAGACGGCCAGCAGGAGGGAAGCGGGAGCCTCCGGGAGCCCCGTTGGCTGTCGCCCCCCCCCCAGGCTCCCCCTCCTCGTGGCTGGGCACCTGGCGGGTGGGGAGGAGGCTCGGGGCTCCTTCCAGGGGGTGGGGGTAGGTGCCGGTGCCGAGCCAGGGCCAGGCTGGGATGGCAGATCTGGGCAAGGTGGCAGGGCAGGCAGGGAACTTGGGGTCCCCCTCCTCGCCAGACCGCTCTGCGGAGGGGCCTTGGGAGGCCTGCAGCCCCAGGGCCCAGGAGAGAGGAGGCAGAGGACACGGAGAATTAAGAAACAGCTCTTTACTGTCACACGCGGCCACAGCGCTCTCGCCGCAGGGCCCCAGGGCAGAGGGAAGGAGGGCAGGTCCACCTCCTGCCGGACCCCGCCAGCTGCTGCCCGTCCTGTCCCGGTCTCGGGAGGTGGTGTCACTTGGCGCTGGGCAGTGGCCGCCTGCGCTGCTCCAGCAGCTCCTCCAGGTGGTCGGCCCGCTTCACCGCAGCCTGCGACACGCATGGGGTCAGGCTGGGCTGACCCCCGTTTCCCAGCCCCCCCTCCCACCCCCCGCCTGCCGCGGACCCACCTGGTGCTGCTTCCGGAGGCTGCTCACAGCCTCCTCCTTCTTGGCCAGGGCCGCCTTCACCCTGTGGACGCACAGCAGGTTCTGGGGGCTGCAGCCGAGTGCAGCTAGGAGGCTGGTGGGGGCCTCCCCCCCGCCCCCCGACAGCAGGAGGGCAGCTGTCCTGCCCAACGCCCGCCCCCGGGGCCTGCTGACTGCGGGCACTGGCTGTCCGTAGGGGTTGGGACAGGAGCTGTGACCCCCGAGAACCAGCCCCTGCGGGTCAGAACCCACAGCAGGGGCCTGGCTGTGCCATGTCGCCTCCCAGGGCCCGTGGTGGGCAGACAGGTGGGCAGGTGAGCCAGGGGGACGCTGGGCCCGGGCGGTGGGGGCCTCCAGACCTCCCGCACAGCCCCCGCTTCACCCAGGCGGGGCCGGAGTTCCCCCTGGAGACACACGGGGGGCACCTGCCCGGCCCGGCCCCCACGGGCACCTGGCTTCTTCCCAGTCTGAAGCTGCGCCCCCCCTGCCGCCCCCGCCCCTCAGGCCAGCACCCACCTGGCATGCACGTCCTCCAGCTCCGCCTGCTTCTCCCGCCGGAGCTGCTCCAGCTCCAGCCGCTGCTGCGCCCGCAGCTCGGCCAGCTCGGCCCTGACCTGCCGGTTTTCCTCCTCGGAGGCGGCCAGCCGGTCGGCGAACTCCAGGCGGAGCACCTGGGCCAGGCCGCTCCGCTCGCCCGCCAGCTGCTCGTTCACCTGGTGGCGGGGACGGCGGGCGCGTGTGAGCCCGTGGCCGTGCCCGTGGCCGGAGCCCGAGGTGGACGGGAGTCCGCCGCCCACCCGCCCGCCCGGCCGCTCACCGCCTTCGCTTCGGCCAGGGCCCTGTCCTTCTGGCGCACCAGGCCCTGCAGGCGCACGCCCTCGCCCTCGGCCTCCGCCAGCCGCCCCCTCAGCTCGGCGCACTGGTCCTGCAGCCTCCGCTGCGCCTGCTCCAGCTCCGCCAGCTCCGCTTCGTGCTGGTCTCGGAGGCGCTTGACGCTGCAGGAGGCGTGGGTCAGTCAGGCCCCCACAGCCCCGGCGGCCGGCACGGTGCCCGTCTCCGCCGGGCCAGGCTCACCGGCTCTCGGCGGCCCTCTCGCTCTCCTCCCTGGCCTGTGTCATGTCGGCCTCCAGCCGGCGGATGACCAGCTCGATGTCCTTGTCGCGGCCTCTCCGGATCTCCTCCTTCAGCTCCCGCTCCCGGCTCAGCAGCCACGCTTCCTGGGGGCGGGGGGAGGCTCAGGGCTGGATTCGTAGGGGCAGAGGGGGCCTCACCCCACCCCAGGCCCCATCCGTCCACAGGGGAGGGGCCCGGTCCTGTCACTGGGACCCAATGGGGACCGAGGGGTGCGGTGGGCGCCGGCAGAGGGCCGGACACATAACAGGGCTTCATCTGGGGCTGAGGGTGGCCGGGCGCCCCATGACTGGGGTGAGGGCATCAGGGGGGCGGCCTCTCAGACGAGGGCGGGCACTGGACATCTGGGCACTCCGGCAAGTTTCACACGTGCCCTTTGACCCTGCTAGCTCACAGGCTCGAGCCCGCAGTGCGGCTGTGGGAGCAGGACCGTGCTTGGCCACGTTGAGGGCGTCACCAGGGCGGTGGGCAATTGCACCCGCAGGTGTCTGAGTGGCAGTTAACCTGGAGAGGAGGGCGAGGGACGCTCCCCTCGGGGTCACCTGGACCTGCCCCAGCCCCGCTGGTGCCCCGGGCACTTGGGGGAAGGGCTGGGGCAGCGCTGGGCATCGCTCAGGGTGAACCGCCAGGCGAGAACCCAGGAGTGGGCCCAGGGGAGGCCCCAGAGGCAGACCCACCCTGACGCCGGGTGCTGGGGGGAAGGGGCCGGCCAGCCGCCACCGCCTGCAGTGCCCACCTCCTTCTTGGCACAGTTGGCCTCCCACAGCTGCCGCTCCACCTCCAGCTGGTCCTTCAGGGCCTGCAGCTCCATCTGCGGGCGGGCGACCATGAGAGCAGCCCCCAGCTGCTGCGCCCCCGTGCCCTGCAGGGTCTCCCCTTCGCCCCCGAGCAGGGCTCCCCCACGGGGCTGGCATGGCCGGGGCGACAGACCTGGTGCCGTTGCTCCAGCTCCTCCCGCCCCTTGTCCAGCTCAGCCCGCAGGGCCCGGGCCCTGGCCGCACTGCTCTCCTCCAGCTGCTGCCGCAGGTCCTCCAGCTCCACCCGCTGCCTGCAGGCCCGCGGAGGTCAGTGTGCGGGCGGGGTGGGGGATTGCCGGGGGGCGGGGGGCAGGTGGACAGCGGGCACCCCCCAGCACCTGGCAGCCTGCTGGCCCAGCCGCTCCTTCTCCTCGGCCACCTCGCTGTAGAGCCGCCGGCGCAGCTGCTGCAGGTCCCGCTGCTCCTGCTCCAGTTGCTGCTCGAAGCTGCAGAGGAAGGAACTGCTGGGCACGCGGCTGGGACAGGGGAACCCTGCCCGGCACCCACTGGTTCCGGCCACCCAGCCGCCGCCCAGGGCACGGTCCCTCAGCACCGGCTGGTGTGGCTGCCGCCCTCCTGGCACGCGTGCGGGGCTGCAGCTCGGCTCTGGGTCCCCGTTTTCGCTCTGGGTCCCCGTTTTCACTCTGGGGGTCCCAAACTCCCTCTGGGCTCCAGGCACACCCCAGCTCTGCTCGGACCGTGGCCCCTGTGTCCTGTGGGGTGCCGGGAGGGGGACACCCACCGCTGCTGGGTGCGCGCGCGCTCCTGCTGGGCCAGCGCCTCCTTCTCCTGCTCCAGCTGCTCCCGCAGCACCTCCGCCTGGCGCCCGTAGCGCTGGGCCGCCCGCTCGTCCGCCTGCAGCAGCTCGGCCGCGTGCAGGCTGCGCAGCTTCTTCACCTCCTGCTTGTGCTTGGCGATCAGCTTCTGGATCTCGGGCTCCAGGCCTGGGGGCAGGAGCCCAGCGCTGCAGGGACCCCGTCCTCACCCTGGCAGCGGGGGGCCCTGGCAGTACCCCGGCTCCTGGGAGGAGGGAGCCCAGGGGAGAGGGTGCACCGGTGCAGGAGGGCCAGGCCCCATCCATCTGGGACCCGCTCTCTGAGGGGAGGAGCCACGGGATAAGTGGCAGGAGCCCTGACCCCACCTGAGCGCCCGCAGCACCTCCTGGGCCGGCACCGCCCGAGCCCGCGGCCCCCCAGCCGTGAGCTGACCCCACGTTCTCACCTCTGACCGTGATCTCCTTGATCTTCCGGGTCTTCTCGTTCATCCACTTCTCCCTGCGCACCTTCTCTGTCGCGCTCATCAGCTCTTTGAGCTTCTTGATCTCCTACCAGCAAGAAGACGGGCGTCGGCAGGAGCTGCGGGAGCGGGACAGCCGGCACCCGCCCCGCCCAGGCTGTGGCGCCGGCACTGCACCCAGCACAGCCCCGTGACGGGCTCTGAGGCCGGGCAGAGGCTCGGCGGCCTGGTCTGCAGGCGGGCACCGCGGCCGCTCACCAGCGCGTGCTGCTCCCGCATCTGGGCCTCCCTCTCCTGGCGCCTCTGCTCCCCCTGCTTCAGCTCGGCCACCACGGCCGCGCACTTCTCCCCCAGGGTCTTCTTGTCTTCGATCAGCTGCATCGGGCGGGAGGGGCGCCCAGGTGAGGCCCCGCCCGTGTGACCGCCGACACCTGCATGGTGCCTCCCCCCGCCTGGGGGCCAGCACGTCAGCTGGGGCTGGGCCACCCCCCACCCCCCGAGCCCATGTGGGCAAGGGGCCACGGCTGTCACCCCCTCCACGCCCCAGCACCATGGCCCCTGGCAGAGCTGAGTGGAGTGTCCCTCATGACCACTGAGGCCTCCCGGTCCCTCTGGGCTCCCTCCTCTCCTCACAGACCTGGCATTTTGCCCAGAACAGGACCCGGCAGAGGCGGGGCTGAGCGCAGGGTGAGCTGGAGCTCGCAGCCCTCACTGAGGCCTCCAGCTTCCACCGGGCGCAGCCACCCAGGACTCAACGGCCAGAACGCAACGGAGCAGCTCAGGGGCTGGGTCCTGGACACCTCCCACTCGTGGGTCCTGAGCCGCCAGCCAGGTGTGCCCTGCCCGCCTGACCCTGCTGCCGCCCGTCATGCTGGGCCCGGAGGCAGGGCTATGAGCCTTGGACTAGCCCAGTGGTCGGCAAACTCATCAGTCAACAGAGCCAAATAGCAACAGTACTTCAAAATAGTCTCGCCCAGGCCGAAAACAGACTTCTGCACATGGGCCACGAAGTTTCAATCGCACCGTACGCGTGCCTGCACGTGGAATTTTGTGGAAGAGTCATACTCAAGGGGCCAAAGAGCCACATGTGGCTCGCAAGCTGCAGTTTGCCAACCACGGGACTAGCCCATCGAGCAGTGGACACTTTCCCCCCACAGGGGACACACCGCCCGCTTCCAGAGAGGGCGACACACCCGCCGGAAGGCCATGGGCCTAGAAGCTCCCCGAGGCCCTGTCTTTGACCCTGACCCTGTCCCCGAGCCTGACCCTGACCCTGTCCCTGTCCCTAACCCTGTCCCTGACCCTGACCCTGTCCCTGACCCTGTCCCTAACTCTGTCCCTAACTCTGTCCCTGTCCCTGACCCTGACCCTGTCCCTAACTCTGTCCCTAACTCTGTCCCTGTCCCTGACCCTGTCCCTGACCCTGTCCCTGTCCCTGACCCTGTCCCTGTCCCTGACCCTCACCCTGTCCCTCACCCTCACCCTGTCCCTTACCCTGTCCCTGACCCCAGGGGCCCTGACCACCCCCTGCGCCCAGCTCCCGTGCGGCCTCACCTGGTCGATGAAGGACAGGTGCCGCTGGATGGTGGCCTCGTAGTGCTCCCTCTGCTGCCGCAGCTGCCGGCCCAGCTCCTTCTCCGTCTCCTTGACCCGCCGGATGGTGAGGTCCCGCTGCTGCGCCTGGGGGTGTGGGGAGGGGGACGCAGAAGGTAAGGGCCACTCAGGGGGCGGCACTCAGACCACACGCAGAGGGCAGCCTGGGACAGAGGCGGTGACGGCCCATGGCAGGACGCGCCAGCGGGGACTGGTGGTGACAAGTAAGGGACGGTCAGTGAGTGAGGGCGGTGGGGGCGTGAGGGCGCTGGGGGCATGTAGGGGTGACGAGGTGCTCACCAGCGCCCGCTGTAGCAGCGCCATCGCCTGCTTCTTCTCCTCCACCTCCAGCTTCAGCCGCATCACAGACGCGCTCACCTCGGATGCAGACTCCAGGCACCGCGGCCCCCCCTCCTCCATTGCGAGCCCCTGAGGATGGCTATGTCAGGAGGTGCGGTCCCGGGGGGAGACCTGCCGCCCCTCCTGCCTGGGGACCTGCGCACCTGGGGGGACCCACACACCTGGGGGGACCCGCGCACCTGGGGGGACCCAGACACCCGGGGGGACCCGGACGCCTGGGGGGACCCGTGCGCATGGGGGGACCCGCGCACCAGGGGGGCCGCGGCCGGCCGTTCCCGCCCCGACTGCTCCATCTCGTCCAGGAAGCACATAATGCTCTGCAGCTTGGCCTCCGACAGCAGCGTCCCGTCCTCGGGGGGCCCAGCGGGCGCACTCAGCTTCCCGAACTTCTCCAGGTTGTCGGCCGTCAGGGAGCTGGCGTCGTCCTCCTGCGGAGGGACTCGGGCTGCCTTCCAGGAGCTCCTGGGGCCCCGGGGCAGGAGCGGGGAGGCAGCGCAGGGGAGGCGGGGAGGGGGTGGGGTAAAGGAAGGGGAGAGCAGGGCCTGGATGGGAAGGAAGGGCCCTCGGGTGGCTCGGACCCTCACGGGGCTCGGCTGGCGGAGACAGTGCCCCCCTCCCCGGGGCCCTACGCCTCAGCTGCCCTGGGTGCCGGGGGTCGCCAAGGCCCCGCCTGGTCCTCATTAGGGACCAGGGAGAGCAGGAGGGCCCAGTGGGCTTCCCTGCCTCCAGGGGGGCGGGTGCCAGGGGAAGGGCCCGGTCACCTCGTCGCTCCAGGCGTATCTGTCCTTATGGTAGGCCCCGGGGCGGGGCAACGGCTCGGGCGCCTCCTCCAGCAGCCTCAGCGTGTCCAGCAGCTCGTCCAGGGTCGCCCTGCACTGGGCCCTGCTCCCAGGGCCGCCCGTCTCCAGGGCCTCACCAGCCGCGTCCTGGGCGCTGGTGTCCTGAGGCAGACGGGTGGGCGGGAGAAGCTGGCACGGCCCTAAGAGGCCGACACCACCCGAGAACCGTGGGGGTGAGGCCGGGCACCCACTCAACACGAGGACCCGGCGTGCCCAGACCCACCGCCAGGGAGACAGACGGGCGGCCGAGTGAGGTGTGTGGGGGCCTGGCCACCACCTGACCTCTGAGCTTCCAGCTGAGAGGGGCAGGAGAGGGGCAGGGGAGGGGCAGGAGAGGGGCAGGAGAGGGGCAGGAGAGGGGCAGGGGAGGGGCAGGGCAGGGGAGGGGCAGGGCAGGCTGGGTGGGAAGGGCTGTGACCACACCTGTGGCTTGTCGTCCGGGAGCCGCTGGGCCTCTGGGGAGGCGTCGGGGATAGGCTGGCAGGGGTCCTCGGGGCCCGGGGTCCGGGAGCTGGCCCCTGTGAAGCAGAAAAGGGCGTCGTCACCTCACCCGGGGGAGCCCTGGGAGGAGGCCTCGCGGAGCAGAGGGGGGCGCAGGCCGGGTGCCGTCCAGCGAGGCCTCCTCCACAGGGGTGGGCGCCCACAGCTCACTCCAGCGACCAGAGCCCCAGAGACAGAGCGGGAGGCGGGGGCAGGGGCAGGGTCAGGGCTGCGGGCTCTCCCGCTCACCCGTGTTGTTGGCCTTGGGGGGCTGCTGAGCGCTGTCTCCTGGCCGCAGGGGCGGCTCCTGGGCCGGCTGGGGCTTCCCCGGCTCCTGGGTCCCGTGGCCAGACTTCTGGGCTCGTTTCTGCTGCAGCTCCTGCGGGGCGGCCGTGAGCAGCCTCGCCCACCAGACAGCGGCCCTCGCCCTCCGCGGCCGGCTGCCCGAGGCGTGTCCCGGGCCCCCCCCGGGGTGCGGCCGCTCTCTGGCCCTCGGTCCCACCCTCGCACCGGGCTCGTGAGGCCCAGCCCCTCGCCCCGCACCTGGATGGCTGCCCGTCTGGCCTGGCGCGCCTTCTCCTCGCGGGCCTTCTTCCGGGCTGCCTCCCTCTGCCGGTGCAGGTCCAGCAGGTCGCCCTCTGCCCGCCGCTTCTGCTGGCCCTGGGAAAGGGGTGGCTGGCCTGGGTGTGGGCTCCCATGGCACCCCAGACCCCGTAGACCCCCACCTGGATCTCTGCACCCACAGAAGACAAGCTACCCTCTCGGTGGCTCTTCCGGGCGAGGGGACGGCTCTGCATCACAGAGCAGGGGCCCCAAAACCAGAAACTGATTTGGACCCCTCAGCCGGGATGGACCCGGCCGGCATTTCCCGACACCCAGGCCGCACCGACGGAGGGAGCGAGGCAGCGGCTCAGGGCAAGGAGGAGGCTGGGCCCCCGACAGGTGTGGGCCGACAGGTGGGGGCCACGGCCCGTCTAGTTCCAATCCCGCGGCCCCAGGTTCCCGCCCGCCCCCGGCGCGGCTCACACCCACACCGACCTCAAGCTTGGATGCTAGCAGGTGCCCCAGGCTGGTGGCTTGGGCTCGGCGCCGCTGGGCCTGGTACCGGTACCAGCGCTGGATGGTGATGGCGGCCTGGTTCACCTGGTGGATAAACCTAGCAGAGAGCAGACTCAGGAGTGGGGCAGACGCGGGGCCTGTGCACAGTGGCCGAGGGCCCCGCCCGCACAGACTCCACCACAGTCGCCAGGTCTACACGGTGTAGGAATCACACTCAATGGCGCTGCTTAAACAAGAAGCCTCAGCCTCGGCGCCCGGCCAGGCGCAAACGAAGCGCCCAGGGTGGGACGGCCACCTGCTGGGGACATGCACACAGGGCCCCCGCTCAGGGGCCTCACCGAGGGGCAGGCAGGTGGGGGTGCAGAGCTCCGACCTCCCCCAGTGCCTCTCCTGCCCCTGCTTCCAGGGCCCGGTCCCCACACTCTAAGGTAGGGGAGGGGGAGGGCCCTCTTTCTGCCCAGGGCCGTTTGGACGCTTGTACCACGTGAGCCACTCGGGCAGGCGTATGCTGTGAGGACAGCTCCAGGACTGAGTTTCCACTCCCGCCTGGGGCTGCCTCGGCGGGGCCAGACCGAGGGGACAGCAGGCGGTGGCCGCCCGGCCAGGGAGGTCCTCACTGTCACCGAGCGGCTCCCCACCCAGAGGGACACACGGCCGGACCCCAGCGGGAGCCCCCCCCCGAGCCCAGCACTCGCCACACGTCCCTGGGCCGCCCAGGGCTCTCTTGGGTTTAGTTCTACGTCTTATTCCCACTCGACGTTTAACTGCCTTCCTGAAGTTTCCTTCACAAGCTACAAAGGCGGTGCGTTCTGAGTACGTGATTCGATGGTTTTCATTAAAGCCGCAGAGCGGGCTGCGGGCGGGGGGATTGCTGCTAGAATGTCTCCGCCCCCAGAGCCCCTCCGCTGCGGACGCGGTGCCCCGCGTCCCTACAGTGCTGCCTTTTCCAGATGTTCCCGAGAACGGGATCGGACAGAGTGTGTATTTTAAACAACCGTGACATGGGAAGTCCCATCACTGGAGCCTGAGCCCCCCGCCCCGGCCCCAGCCCGGGTCACCTCTCAGCCTCCTCTTCCGTCACCTCCCGCCGCCTGAGCAGGCCCCCGGCGGCCCCCGCGTTGTTCCGGGCCCCGTGGTTGCTGCTGGCCGAGTTCTTCTGTGGTTTCCCGCCGCCGCTGCCCTCGCCCTCGCGGGTGGCCGCCTTGACGAGGTTGCTGACAGGAGGCAGAGAGAGAGGCTCATGGCGCTGACCCGGCCCTCCCACCGCCGGGGCCTCTGTCCGCCTCGGCCTGGGGCCTGCAAGGAGGCGCCACCGCCCAAGGGGAGCCGGCTGCTCCGTCCCACAGCCACCTGCCCTCCAGAGTGCCCGCCTGGCGGCACACAGATCACCGTGGCCGTCCCTGACGGAGCACACGGGGCCACGCACTCCGGCCGCTCCGCCGAGACCTGCCTGGGCTCTGTTCTCGGCCAGGGGGCCCGGGACACGGGGTGGCTGTGGCTTCCTCAGAGGGACTCCACCCAGAGCCGTTAGCCCACCAGTCCCAGCCTGTGCCCCCCCCCCCCCCCCAGCGCTCTGGGGTGACGGTGGCAGCAGGGCCCACGCAGCCCGGGGCCAGGCCTCACTTGAGGGAGGGCGCCGTGCGGTTGGAGCTCTTGGGCGCTGCGTCCGCGGGGCCGTGGTTGTTGTGCACCATGGTGGTGACGAAGTTGCCCACGGCCGCCTTGTTGCTCCTGCAGGAGACAGAGGCGGGTCAGGTCCCCGAGTCCCTACGCCCGCGTGTGCCCCCTCCCTCCCCGGGCCTGGCCTCCCCAGGAGGAAAGCCCCCCAGCCGCGTGCCCGTCTGGGCTCGGGGCCAGCACAGAGCCTGCCTGTGCGAGACACGCCTTTGCAGCCCCTCCTGGGGGCCCTCGGGGAGAGAGCCAATCACGCCCTCACTGACTCATTCATTCATTCACTCCCTCCCTCCCTCCTTCACTAATTCATTCATTCCCCCCTTCCCTCCCTCCTTCGCTCACTCCCTCCTTCACGCGCTCCAGGGCGCTCTGGCCTGGCCGTGAACAAGACGAAGCACCTGCCCCACATGGGCACCTGCGGAGGGCGCACCTGTTGTTGGCAGTGAAGTTGGGCGCCAGGGAGACGGTGCCCTCTCTCCTCCGTGGGCCCGCCGGCGTGTCCAGGGCACAGGGACTCCGGGCGGCGGGCGGCGAGGGGAGGGCCCTGGGCTGGTCGTCCTGGTGGTGAACGCAGACGCCTTCAGCCCCAGCCCTTCCCTGCCCCCGCGGCCTCACGCAAACCCGGCCAGGGTGGCTGGGAGGAAGCTCCTGCCCCTCTCCAGATGGGAAGCTGTGGTCAGGGATGCACACCCCCGCCCCCCGCAGGGGCAGCAGAACAAGGCGGGAGCCAGGCGCGCTCCGGCCCCTCAGCTGCCCGGCTCTCACCAGGACGTTCCACGTGGCCCCCTTCTCGCTGGAGGCCCTGCTCACACCGGCCGGCCTCTGGTTCCCACCGGAGCTGCTCTCAAACAGCATCAGGAAGTCGGGGGGCTCCGCCGGCCTGGGTCAGACGGCAGCGGGGACGGCCGGTCACCAGCAGGGACTTCTGTCCCCGAGCCTGGGGCTCAGGCGGCATGTCTGGGTCCTGATCTGACGGCCGAGCCTGGAAGTGGCGAGGCTCTGCCCGTGGCCACGACCCCCGGGAAAAGCGCCGCCAGGAAGCGGGGCGTGGAAGGCAGGGCACGGCGGCCCCGAGTCCACACTCCACACGCAGGGACGACAGGTCCGGACACGACCTGCCTGCCCCCAGGACTGGCCCCAAGTGAAGGGCACCACAGGCCCCACTGTCCGGCCAGTGCCCACACTGGTGAGGCCGGAAGAAGGGCTGACAGAGGCCGGACAGGAACAAGTGGGGGTTACCAGAGGGGGTCAGAGGTTGCCTGAGGGGTCAGAGGTTACCTGAGGGGGCTGGCCCACGCCTGCTTGGCTTGAGGCTGGTGGACCTGCGTGGTGCTGCTGGACCTGCGAAGGTTGTTGATGGCCCTGGAGCTCCCGGGCCCCGTGGCCTCCTGCAACAAGGGGAAACCACCAACCTCGTGGCCATGGTGTCGCCTGTTCACGCCGTGCGGGCCGTGCAGAACAGGTTTAGAGGGAGAGGTGAGGGGGGCGAGGGGGCGGCAGGAGCCGCGGGGCCTCCATCAGGCTCCCTCTGGATAGAAGGGGGAGCCCCCCCACCACCCCCCCATCTGGCGGAGGCCCCGGAGCAGGTGCGTGAGGCCTGGAGCCTGCCCACCGGCTCCCCCGAGGCTTCCAGGAGCCTGTCCCCTGCCCCGCAGGCCAGCCCGCTGCTGGCGGATTTAAACAAACCCGTGTCGATGCAGGGAGAGAACTTGGCACGAGCTTGGCCCCGGCAGACCTAGGGCCTGGCCTCGCCCCCTGGTCCTCCCTGCTCCCCAGGAGGTCACAGGGCTGGATGGGCAACGGGCTGGGGTGTGGGGCTCACCCGAAGTCAGATGCCACCCCGACGGCCACTCCCCGGGACCCGACGCCCCAGCTCCAACACTCACCAGCGCCTTCCTCTTCGGCTCGCTGCCTGTGGCCACGGAGATGGAGCGGGCGACAGGCTTGGCAGCAGAGGCGCTGTTGGGGCGTCGGGACATGGGTGGAGGGAGCCCCGTCAGACTCAGGTCCAAGCCTTCCAGGCTGCCTTCGGGGGGTCCGGGGGGGCTGCTGGTGGCCTGGGAGCCTTTCATGGTGGACGAGAGGGCCCTGGGCAGGTGAGGAGAAGTGCAATGAGGGCCCCGCAGAACCGGTCCGTGCACGCGGCCGCTGGCCAGGCCTCAGGGGGACCGGGGCACCAAGCTCCCTGGGAAGACGGGGGTCCCCTCCTCCCCAAAACCAGGCACAGAGCAGGGCTGCGAGCGATGAGCAGCACAGACAAGGCCTCCGGGACACGGCAGCCTCTGGGTGCGGCCAGCTCTCCGAGCCCACCCCTCCCAGGCTCACCCTGTCTGAGCCTCACTGTCTTCGTCTGTGAAATGGACATTTAAGAGCCTCTTCACGGGGTCAGACAGGACAGCTGGAGACTGGCGCACGGTGTGACCCACCGGGATCTGGACCGACTCCCAGACTCATGCGGGCACGGGACCCCCTCCGTCTCCTCGGAACCCGCAGGACAGCCATGAGCTCCCAGGTCCGGCGTCCGCTCTCCCCTCCCCGCGAGGCCGCCCTGCGGGGTTTCCCTTCTGGCCCTCCCTTCTCTGGACCCTGAAGTCTGGGTTCCCCCCACCCTGACTCTGCCCTGGCCTCTCCTCCACCCACCCTCTCACCTAGGAGACAGCCTCTGCCTCAAGGGCTGGCGGGTCCCACACGCCCCTGTCCCCAGCTCCCCACGCAGACGGCCGCCCCGTCCCTCCCACACAGCGGCCAGAGCTGGCCTTTCTGAACGGCGTCTCGGGTCACCTTCTATCCCAGCTTAAACCCGCTGGGCCCGGCCGGTGCGGCTCCGTGGTTGAGCGTCGGCCTAGGAACCAGGAGGTCGCGGTTCGATTTCCCGGTCGGGGCACAGGCCTGGGTTTCGGGCTCCATCCCCAGTGCGGGGCGGGCAGGAGGCAGCCGGTCCATGATTCTCTCTCATCATGGATGTTTCTCTCTCTTGCTCCCTCTCCCTTCCTCTCTGAAATCAATAAAAAAACATTTTTTTAAAAAGCCTCTGCTGGCCCCAGGCACAGAGAACAGAGTCCAGACGCCTCCCCCCTCAGATCTGATGCCGACGCTCGTGGCCCCTCACGGCCCCTCTGCCCCTCCCTCTGCTTCAGCCACCAGCCTCCCTGCCGCCGAGGACGGGGACCCAGGGACCTCGGCCAGCGGCCCTCTGCCCGGCCCCTCCCTGGGGTGTCACAGGCCCCACTCTCCGCTCCCTCTCCTGCTCTAGCTTGCTCCGCCTGGCCACGGCCACAGCCCCCTGGCCACGGCCACAGCCCCCTGGCCACGGCCACAGCCACCTGGCCACGGCCACGGCCACAGCCACCTGGCCATGGCCACTTGGCCACCCAGGCTGGTCTGTGCGCTGTCTGAGCCCTCGGAAGAGCAGAAGCCCGTGAGGACAGGCCTGTGGCCCCGGCTGCTGGCACGGACCGGCCCTGGGTAAGGAGCGGGCAGCGGGGAGGCCGCAGGGGAGTGAGCCCAGCCGTGGGGGCCACCGAGGGCTCTGGCGGGCACACAGCCACGGTCCCCGCGGCCTCCGAGCTGAGCGCAGAGGCCGGCCCCGCCATCACCAGGCCCGCGGCCCCAGGCCTGCGTGTCCGGTTGTGCGGGTGAAGCACCCCTTCTCCCCGAGGCCGGACCCGCCTCGCCCGCTGGATGCAGGCTGCCCCTGCCCGGCCACGGCGGTGGCGGGCGGGCTCCGGACGGAACCGCAGCCTCCCCGCGGGGACCCCGGGCCGGACCTCACCTGCTCCCGAGGCGGCCCTCACCTGGGCCGGGGGCCGGGGTCGGGGGCCCGGGCCTCCGCCTGCCGCGGGCCGAGCTGACCGAGGGCCCCGCCAGCCTCTCACTCCGCAGCTCCCGGCTCCCGGGGTCGGGCTCAGGGGGCGGGAGCCGAGCCTGTGGACCGGGAAGCCGAGAGCGGCCCCGGGTGAGCCCCTCGCTGTGCAGGGGCCTCTCACCTGCACATTCCTCACCTGCGCGAGCCGGCCGGGCGCGGGGCCGCCTGGCTGGGACCCGGGACCCGCGCTTTGGACCGACGACCTCGCGCCCCCGCCCCGGCGCCGGCACCGAGGCCCGAGGTGACAATGAAGCAGCCGAGCGGCGGCAGCTAGCAACCAGCAAACAGCCCGGCTCCTCCTCCTGGGCCTCACCAAGTCCCGCCTTTCCTGCCCGCGCCGCTCCCGGATTGGCTCCCCAGTCGGCCGCTCCGGCCGTCGTGAGAGTTCATTGGGCCGCTCGGCTGTCTTTCGGGAAGTTCAAGCCTGGGAGGAGCCGCAGAGACCTGGGGGGGAAACTGCACCGTGGCAGCGGGCTGCCGATTGGACGCGGCTGGCGTGGGCGGGGCCTCGAGTGGCGTGGGCGGGGCCTGGGCAGGAACGAGGGGCGGGCGTGGAGTCAGGTCCCGCCAGCCCGCGGGACCCACGCCGTCTCCGGGCTCCCCCGGCTCCCCCGCAACCCCGGCAATCTCTGTATTTCTAGTTTTGCGGATTTCTGCTCATGAATGGATGTGGATTTTGTCTCCTGCTCTCTGCGTATTTTTCATTCGTGTGTGAATATGCGAATGACACTGATTTTCAGGTGTTAAGCCAGCCTTCCACACCCCCAATAAATCCCACTTACCGTGATGGATTACCCACTTACACTCTTTTTACATATTGCTGCGTTCTTTTTGCTAATTTTTTTTGCTTTTTCACAGAATCTTGTTAAGGGTTTTTTCATCTATGTTCTAGATCAGGGGTCCTCAAACTGTTTAAGCAGAGGGCCAGTTCACTGTCCCTCAGACCGTCGGAGGGCCGGACTATAGTTTAAAAAAAACTATGAACAGCCGAGGCCGGTTTGGCTCAGTGGATGGAGCGTCGGCCTGCGGACTGGGGGGTCCCGGGTTCGGTTCCGGTCAGGGGCATGTACCTGGGTTGCGGGCGTATCCCCAGTGGGAGGTGTGCAGGAGGCAGCTGGTCGATGTTTCTCTCTCATCGATGTTTCTAGCTCTCTATCTCTCTCCCTTCCTCTCTGTGAAAAATCAATAAAATATATTTAAAAAAAAAAAAAAACCCTATGAACAAATTCCTATGCACACTGCACATATCTTATTTTGAAGTAAAAAAACAAAACGGGAACAAATACAATATTTGTATTTGCATGTGGCCCGCGGGCCGTGGTTCAGGGACCCCTGGTCTAGATCAAGTGCACGTGGACCATTCCCCAACACAGACCACAGTCTGGGCCATAAAACACACTTCAGCAAAAATCTTAAATTTTTGACAATAAAATTGAAGTCATACAAAATGCTAAATTACTGTATTGATTAATAGCAGGAAAGCATACCTTTAAATAACCCTTTGGACAAAAAGGAGATCTCCAGGTGAGCTAGAAATTATTCTGAACTGAATAAAAATAAGTCAGAGCTCCTGGGATGCAGGCAAAGCAGCAGAGAAGAAAGTTACACATTAAAGTGCTCGTTATTAGGACACAAAATCATCTAAACTTCCACCTGGAGCTGGAAAAACATAAACACCACTGAGGTAGTACGAGCAGAAATCAATGAAGCAGAAACACAAAAGCTGCAGAAGAATAAAAGCCGAAGTTAGTCCCTGGAAAAGTTCAGTATTAATAAACTTCTAATCAGACTAAGAGAGGAAAACATTGTCAATATCAGAAATGAAGGATGGAACATAAATTAAAAGGACAATTTGACAACTTTCATGAAACTGATTCCTTAAAAGACACAACTGGAATTCACAAAGAAATATATGCCCCCAATAGTCCTATACCTACTTAAGACACTGAATTTCAAAGTTAAAAACCTTGCAATTACGAAAATTACAGGATCAGACAGTTCTGGGGAGCTCTTCAGAACATTTAAGGGAGAAATAACGCCAGTCCCTAACTTGAGAAGTCCTCCGAGTGCACCCCTTAGTAAGGCTATTCCATTAGAACACACGCGTGCACAAACACGCATACACACACATACACACACGCGTGCGCGCACACACACGAGTGAGCACACACACAAGAAGGAAAAGCACTTGGTAAGGTGACCGGTTTATTTAGGAAGGTCCTGGAGTTGCCCTGAGAGGCCGCCCTGCAGCCTGCAGGAAGCAGCCCCTGCAGAGGGTGCCCACAGGAGTCACACAGGGAGCTGGCCTGGGCAGGGCCGGTGTGCGGCTGCCCGTGGCCTCCTGCAGAGGGAGGGCCCTGAGCCCAAATACAGAGATCCAAGCAGGTTCCAAATCCACACTACCCGTTTCCGAGAGCGAGGCAGGTGGGGTTCCCTGCGGCCACAGGAGTTCAAGGCCAGAGAACCAGCCTCTGGGAGGAGGGGGAGAACCGAGGCAGCCCAGGTTCCCCTCTCCTAGTCGGGCTGTCTGCACCTGGCCCCCTCCTGACACATGCCCCCATGAGACAGCTCGAGGGGGCTCTGAGCTCAATCACCAGCGCCCCCTCCTTCCCCGCCCTCAGGGAGACTGCGGGACCCTCTGCCCCGAGGGGCCCCACGGCATCTGCAGATGGGACCGCGCAGCCGGACAGTGTGCTCAGGGGGCGCCGAGGCAGGAGGCCCAGCAGCCCAGGGCCCGCCGGCTGCCAACCTTCACCAGAGCTCAGCCCCTGGGCCTGCAGACATCGAGGGGCTCTGTGCGCCCGCCACCCTGCGAGTCCTGCCAGCTGCTTCCCCCGCCTCCACGCGGTTCTGGCTAGCTCGTGGCTCCTGCTCTCATTCCTGGAGGCTAGTCCATGCTGCGCTCACCTGGCTGGGCTGCTCCCCGCACCAAGGCCTCAGGGTGAGAGGGAGAGGCCGACACAGACACCAGGGCTGAGGGCGGAGGGGACCGTGTGCAGTCACTGTCCAGGTCATGAGTTCAAGAAGGCAAAAGCTGATGGCTCTGAGCCAGGAGACTCTGGGGCTGCCACGCTGTGTGACAACGTCCAAGGGGGCTGCGGGGGCTCCTGGGTACCAGTCCCAGCCTCCACCAGGCGGGGGCAGGCCACCAGCTGCATGCCAGCAAACAAGGACTTGTGGCCGCTGCTGGCCCCCGGGCCCCTCAGGCAGCCGCTGGGGTATGGGCCCGATTCAGGTCCTCCATTGGGAGCGTCCGAGCCCAACTGGCCCTGCTCGGGTCTGGGCTCGGCCTTCCTGGCGTCCCCGAGGCCTGGGAGGGGGTACCCACCCAGGGCGGGAGGGGCTGCAGGGCCCCTGGGGGAGAGCAGGGTGGAACTCAGAGGCTGGAGAGACGCAGGGCCCCCGGCGAAAGGCACAGCGTCTGTCAGCAGGTCAGACGCGCCCACACGCGTGGTTGCGGGGTTGGGCTCGGCCTGTGGCCTCCGGGCAGCGGCGTGCTGTCGGCAGGAGGCTTCTAAATGCCTCAGGATCTGGACGGCGGGAGAAAGGGAACTGGTGAGGGCCCAGTCGTCCTGGGGTCCCTGGAGGGCACATGGCCCTGCCCGGGGCCTTCCCCAGGCCGCTCCAGGGCAGGCCCGCTGGGGCAGAGTGGTCTACGGCCGGTCCTCTACGAGCTGTCTCCGCGCTGCCCTCCCACCCCCGGAGGGCTCCGGGCCTCGAGCTGCTTACACACCGGGCACACCAGGTGCCCCCAGACGCCTGCGACCTCCCCTCTGCTGCCTCGTGAACGGCTTCCCTGCCGTCGGACCCGCCGCGTGACCCGTGGCACAGGCAGAGGGGGCCCCGGGGGAACAGTGTGCCTTCAGCCCCACAGCCTCGCCGATGCTTTGATGAAGGACAATTCGGGGACTGGAGACTAAGGATCTGAACTTCCAATGGCCACAGAGGAAGCGAGAGGAAGCGGGGGGGAGGGGATGCCAACAGGCAGGGGAGGTGCGGGCCGGCTGCGGGGTGGGGGGGGCAGTGAGAGCCCAGGCGGCCTCCCACAATCCCGGCGCTAGCAGGGAGGGGCTGGATGGACGAAGAGTTTCTGCCCTCCAGGAGCTGCCCATCTGGGAGCTAAGCACAGACCTGAGAGCTGTGACACGAGGTGGAGAAAGTGGAACAGGTCCACCCGAGCAATCAAGAAGGGCTTCCTACAGGAGGCGGCACACGAGCCGAGCCACGGGGGAGAGGAAGCCACCCACCGGGGAGAGCTGCTGGGCAGTAAGGTAAGGCGGCTGAGCACGGGCAGGGGAGGCCCTGAGCTGTTCTAGGGCACGGCCTGTCCAGGGCAGCAAGCGGCAGGGGAGCGAGAGGCCTGTCTGGAAAAGCCCGGAGAGATGGGGGGTCCCTGCACCCACTCCGCAGGGCCCGGCGCTGCCCACCTTGGTGGCCTTGCTGGTCACGGGCCCGGGGCTGCCGGCGCTGAGCTCCCGCAGGCACGGCCGGGCGAGGAGCAGCATGTGCTCCTGGGCGAGCAGGTCCGTGCACCCCAGGGCAGCGATGGCGCCCAGGGCTCTCTGCAGCGACGGCAGGGGGGTTAGCAGGCTCCACCCGGAAGACCGAGTCCCCAGGGCCTCCTGGCAGCCCCGCTGGCCCCCTGTGCTCACCCCCGACCCCTCCCGGGGCAGATCCCAGGGAGGGGGTCACCGTGCCCGCCCGCCCACCCGCCCGCCACCTCCTCACCATCTGCGCGCACTCGCCGGACCTGCCCAGGCGGCGGGTCAGCAGCTCCAGCACCGCCTCGCAGTTGAGCAGCCCACACCTGCGGGAAGGGCACCAGGCAGGACAGGTGGGCAGGGCAGGCGGCCAGGCCCTTCCCTTGGGGGGTGAGAGCGGGGAGGGAGGGGTGGGGGTGGGGGCTTGGTCAGGGGCTCACTCTTTGACAAAGCGTTGAGCCTCCTCTTGGCTCAGGAAGGGACGTGGCCCCTGTGTCACCATCTGGACCAGGCTCAGCTCCTGCTGGCAGTCGCTCAGGGTCACGGCCTCCACCCTGCAGGGGGCACAGCGGGTGGGCGAAGGGCCAGGCTCTTCCAGATCACACCCCGCTGGGCGGGACCCTGATAGTGAACAGGTGGAGGGGCCGAGGGCTGGCTCACCTCTCAGCCAGGTCGCCGGGCACCCCGCTGGCCCCCGAGGGGCTGTCACTGCCCGACCAAGTGCCGGAGCCTGAGGCCCTGCTCTGGCCGTTGTCCTGGCAAGAGCCCTGGGAGCCAGGGCTGCTGTCCTGCTCGTCCCAGCCCCCGCCCGCCTGCCCCGGCTGGTGTCTTGTAGCTGGAAGAAAGGTGATCACGGTGAGACCCAGGGGCCTCAGACGGCCTCACACCCACTCCTGGGGACCCCAAGACTGGGGGACCTAGAGGACCAGGGAGGGCGCCCCAAGATGTGGACAGGGTGCACCCTCACAGAGGTCGGGTGGACACACTGGCGTGGGGCTCATGTCCGGGAGATGCAGCAGCACTGAGCACCACAGCTCTCGTCACTCGGGGACACCTGCCCCCCCTCCTGTCTCCCAGCACCTTGCTCTTCAGTCAACCTGTGCCACTGCCCCAGGCCCCCAGGGCGTATGAGTTAGAGGCCAGCCCTTGCTGAGGGCCGTCGGGCAGAGCCATGCAGACGGGCACAGGGCAACCCGCCGCCCGGGTGCAGGGATGAAAGGGCTCCTGGCCCAGCCCATGTCTGGGCCTGCACTAGGAGCTGGGGCCTGGGCCTCAGCGAGCCCCACCCACCCAGGGCCAATCCACATGGAGCTAACGCCGGGCAGCACCGCCTGCGTGAAGCCACCAGAGGCCACAGGGCACGCGGAGCCCCTGGCAGTGTGTCAGGCGGGGCAGGCTGCCCTCCTCTCGCCTGCCCTCAGCTGGAACCCAGCTCCGCTCAGCCCGGCAGGGGCAGGAAGGAGCTACGGACGGGGAAAGTCAGACCCTGATACCTCGGGCCCCCGGCAGGGCTCCAGGGGGTGGGTTCGCAGGGGCGAGGTGGCCGTGGCTGGCGGAAGGCGTCACAGCAGGCTGGTAGGCGTCCCCCTGCAGCAGGGGCCCCTGGGAGCCGGGGCCCTCGGGCCCAGGGCACACGGCGCTGGCCACGACCTCTGCGGCCTTCTGGAGGGTGGCAAGGAAGGCTTCCCCCGTGGAGCCTGCACAGAGCGACAGGGAGATGGCGCGGCCCCAGCGGACCTCCCACTCCAGGAGCCGAGCCTCAGAGGGCCGAGCCGCGCCCAGCGGTCAGCACAGCGGCTGGGCTCAGCCCGAGCCCACGCGCCCCTGTGGCCCGGCTGCAGGCCTCCCGCCCACTCCCGCGTCTACACTGGGCTGGCCGGGGCCCTTTGTCAGCACCGGCCCTTCCTGCCCTAAGTCCCCGTCCCCGCGCCCAGCGCCCAGGCAGCACTCACCCGTGGGACCGTGCTCCTTGCTGTAGCCGAAGCCCTGGAGGGCGCCCTGGGGCCGGGACTGGGAGCCCATGCCTGCGGGGGGACCCGAGTCACCCTGATCCTTGGGGAGGAGCCCCGGGCCCCACCCCAGGGGAACCCCGTGATGGGGCTGGACAAGGCTGCGTACCTGCGGGAGGCAGGGCCCTGGGAGGCTGGGAGGGGGGAGGAGGGGACAAGGTGTCCGAGAACAAGGTGCTCCCCAAGTCCTAGACAGGAGGTGAGGGCGCTCAGTGTGGCCACACATCCAACTGTGCCCCCACCCCCACCTTGAGGGCCACACACAGCAGGAAGCCGCTGGGGTCCCCGGGGGAGCTGGTCCTGGGCTCACCTGGGCGGCCGCCCGCACTTGCTGGTACAAGCTGTTCCCGTGGAGAGGGTCCGGGGGCCCCGTGAACCCTGCAGGGCGGGGAGCGGGCTGAGCGGGCGCTGCCCCCGATGCCAGGCTGGACGCCCCCGCCCCCCCTTCCCCGCGGGTGAGCTCGCCCCCTACCAGCGGAGTTTCTGAAACAACAGGTCTGACCTCCAGTCCCGTGTGACTTCACCTCCAGGTCAAAGTCCCTCCTGCACCCTCGAGCCTGGCGAAGGCCCACTGCCCACGCGGTTCACAGCCGCCACCGCAGCCCCTCGGCCCCTCACCACCCACAGCAGCGAGGCCTCGGTCACCCCGGCGACTCTCTGCCCCCCGCCTCTCACCTGCCACCTAACCGCCTCCTTCAACCCGCTCTCCATCCCGAGGGGACAGGAACGGGCTCTTGTCCAATTCAAAACCCCTCAGCGGCTCCCAGGGGCTTTAGGGAAAACCCAGAGGCTCCCGGGAAGGCTCCCGGGCTAAGGCGCTCGGCTGGCTGGTACCTGCCGCTTCCTGGATGAAGGCTGGGTTGCGCTTGAGGATGAGCAGGAAGGAGGAGGAGCCGTGGGCACACAGGTGCAGCATGATCTTCAGCACCTGGGGGGACGGGCACGTGGGGCGGGGCCAGGCCCAGAGGGCACCCCGGCTGCCTCCCGCCTCCCCACCCACGGTGTGAGCTCAGGCCTGACCTGACCCCAGGGTCTGCGGCCACTGGGGCCTCACCTTGAGCTTCACGCGGCCGGAGCCGCTGTGCAGCCGGTTCAGGAGGTACTCCAGTAGGCACTGGCTGCTGCCCAGCGACTCGTGCGAGATTTCTGGAAGGCGCTCGGTTAGGGAAGGAGCGAGCTGACCGGGGCCTCACTGTCTCCGAACTGCGTAGGGTCCCTCCCTGCAGGCACCCACCCAGGCCCTCGTTTCGGGAGCATCGGGCACCGGGGCCTCCTGGGCTCCTGAGAGGGCCCCGGCCGCCGAGGACAGCAGCCCAGGGCCCTGCGTGGGGACACGGGGAGGATACTGGCGATCTCCTCGAACAGGTAGCCGGGACACGGCGCGTCGTCGTCCGACGTTCCCTTCAGGAGAACCGGGAGCTGAAAGGCAGCGAGAGCGCCGCCATAAGTGGGTGGTGCACAGGGGTGAGCCCACGGCCACCACAGGGGCCAGCCATCCCCGGGGGGGTCCTGGGGGCGCCGGTGTCCACGCATCTCGGGGTTGGCATGCTGCCGGGTGAGGGAGCGAGGGGACAGCAATGGTCGCACCGGCTGCAGGGAGCTGGCCGGAGTCATGGAGAGGAGCCGTTCTGCTCGGTCCCCCAGGCGCCTCGCTAACAGCCGGGCAGGACGACTTAAGGCAAAGCCCAAAGCCGAGATGAGCCTTTCCCACGCGGGGCAGGTGGGCAGCGTGAAGTGGCCCCTAAGCCTGACCCACCCACGGCGGCTCTTCAGGGAACGGACACCTTAGAAATAAGCCGCCAGGAGACAGCCGAGCACGTGCGTGTGTTTACTTGTCAGCAGCCAAACAGGTGCCCGTGACGCGCTGACTCACCGGGGCGGGCGGGAGCCGGAAACCCGCTCCCCACGCGCCCCGCCGGCGGACAGCACAGCCTCAGGGACATCGGGACAGTGCGGGCCGCACACCACAGCGTGAAGGCAGCTGCCCGGTGTCACACGTGCCCGACTGTCACGCCAGGCTGCGCGCACCCACCACCGACACCAGGGGGCGAGGGAGGAGGGGCCGGCGGGGGGCGGGAGCCCGGGAGGGGCCGGGCGCGGGGAACCCGGCCGGGAGGCGGATGGCTCTGGCCCGGGGCGAGGCGGCGGGGGGGGCGCGCAGCGGGGTCGGGTTACCCGCACTCACCCGGTGCAGGAAGCTCAGCCGGTCCCGCAGCAGCGGCGTGGCGGCCATGATGCAGGTCACCTTCCGGCCCTGCCCCGGTCCCAGCCCCTCCAATCACCGCGCGGGTCTGGCCCGCTGGCCAATCGCTTGCGTGGGGCGGGCCTTAGGGCGGAGTTAGGTCAACAAGTTGAGCCTTAACCAATCCGAAGTCCTAGGTCAATGACAGACGGCCTATCAGCCAATTAGCGGGCTCCTGGGGAACGCGGTTCCGGAGAGACAGAGGCGAGGGCTGAAACCTAGCCTATTAGAAAGCGAAAGAGAAGTGATGGACGGAAGCATCAGCCTATCAAATGGTGCTTCGCCGGAAAGGGACGGACCCAAGATGGCGGCGCCCACGGGTACCAGGAAGAGGTGCTCATGTCAGGGAATGGAGCGGTGTGGGGGCGCGTGCGAAGCCGCCTCCGCGCCTTCCCCGAGCGCCTGGCGGCCTGTGGGGCTGAGGTGAGGAGCCTTGGGTCGAGGCAGCACCTGCGGGACGGGGCGGGGGGCGGGGGCTGCGCCGGGCCCCGCGGGCCCCGAGGCCGCCACGACCCTGTCCTGCGCCGCCCGTCCCCAGGCCGCCGCCTACGGCCGCTGCGTGCAGGCGTCCACGGCCCCGGGCGGCCGCCTGAGGAAGGATCTCTGTGCGCAGGAGTTCGAGGCCCTGCGTCGTTGCTTCGCCGCCGCGGTAGGTGGACGCGCCCCTACCGGCCCCACTCCCAGCCCCGCCTCCGGGGCCGGTCCCGTTGGCCCCCTCCCTTCTCCCGCGGGCGGTGTCGGGCGACCCCGCCGCCACGAGCCCGTGTGCCCGGCAGGTGGGGAGCGTGGGGGGCGCCAGCCCCTGGCGAGGGGGTGCCGGGGTGTGGAAAGCGCCTGGTGAACCCCCTGGTGCCGTCGTCAGGGTGAGGGGTGCGGGGGGGGCTGCCCACCCAGAACCCCACACCCCGTGTCCCAGCCCCGCTGCGCCCTAGCGGGGCCCCTCCTCTGAGGCGCTCGCAGGGAGATGGGGGCCCCTCCTCTAAGGCGCTCGCAGGGAGATGGGGGGCCCCTCCTCTAAGGCGCTCGCAGGGAGATGGGGGGCCCCTCCTCTAAGGCGCTCGCAGGGAGATGGGGGGCCCCTCCTCTAAGGCGCACGCAGGGAGATGGGGGCCCCTCCTCTGAGGCGCACGCAGGGAGATGGGGGCCCCTCCTCTGAGGCGCACGCAGGGAGATGGGGGGCCCCTCCTCTAAGGCGCTCGCAGGGAGATGGGGGGCCCCTCCTCTAAGGCGCTCGCAGGAAAATGGGGGCCCCTCCTCTGAGGCGCTCGCAGGGAGATGGGGGGCCCCTCCTCTAAGGCGCTCGCAGGGAGATGGGGGGCCCCTCCTCTAAGGCGCTCGCAGGAAAATGGGGGCCCCTCCTCTGAGGCGCTCGCAGGGAGATGCGGTTCCCGGCGGTTTTCCTCTGGAGCCACGTCTGCCTTGGAAACAGCGCGTTCAGACAGCGCCTTCACCTTCCAGGCCCAGCAGACCCGGAAGGGAGGCCCCTAGGCCGGACCGGGCGCCTGGCCCTGAAGAGGAGGAGGAGGAGGAACCGTGGGCGGAGGGCCTGGCCCGCCTCGCGCGCACGGGGGAGGGGAGGACGGGCCGGGGAACCGGCAGGAGGCCCACCGGTCTCGCCAGGTGTTGGTGCTGCGCGCAGGGTGCGCGGGGCCTGGCCTCGCCCCCAGAAACCCGGCGGCCGCGTGGGCTGCGGGATGCGCTGCCTCCGGGGCCTCACCAATAAAATGTCACCCGAACCTCAGACGCCTCTGGACGTTGCCTGTGGGTTTGCAGGAGGCACCGAACCTGCGAGACTGAGCGGGAGGGCGAGCCCCGCAGGCCGGACACGGCGCTTGCCTGGCCTTGGAGGGAGCAGGAGCCGCGCTGGGGGCCTCCCGGGAGGGCGGTGGAGGCCAGCCCCGGGGCGGGTGTAGGAGCCCCGCAGCTTCTAGAGCAGCGAGCCTGCAGGCCCCTCCCGTGTGGGGTCACCCGGCGCCCTTTGCAGTCTCCCCGGGACCGAACCGAGCCCTGTCCTGAGAAACACACACATACACCCCCCCCCCTCAGCCCCTGGGCACCACCCGTTGGGAGCTGGGCTGCTCCGAGAGCCCCCTCCAGGGGCACAGAGGTCACACGGTCCCTGAGTTCTGTCTTAAAACTCCGGAATTAGCCCGGCTCTCCCCAAGTGGTGAACCCCCGGTCTCAGATGTGGGTGTCATCTCAGCGAGAGTCCCTGCTGGGCAGCCACGTTTCGCTGCCACAAAAACCAGTGACCCCTCTGCCCCCGCCGGGTGAGGGAGGCAGATTCCTGCTGGGAGGGTGGGCCTGTCTGATCCTGCCCCGACCTCAGCTCGTGCCCAGCGGGGGGGGCGGGGTGTCCAGCGGGGGCATGGACTTCTCCCTGACCCTCCTCCCTCCACTGACCTCTGACAGCTTCTGGCATCTCCACTGGGCACACCTGTCCCACCTGGTGCTCCCTCCTGCCAGCTCCCCTCCAGGTGGCGATGAGCTACCAACACCGTGCCTCCTCCCCCGCCAGGCCGCTGCAGGCTTGCTCTGCTGACCGGCCAGGTGCACCCCAGGCACCAACCTCAGCTCTCGCGGCCTCACAAGATGTCCAGAGCCGCTTCCCTGGGCACGAGCACCAGGACTCTCCCATACCCAGGGTTCAGGAGTCAGCTCGGCCGTGGGAAATTCCATTCCTCTTATTCATTTGTAGTCAAGCTGCCCAGTGCATAGAAATAATAAAAATTTAAAAATGGCCCTGGCTGGTGTTGCTCTATGGTTAGAGCGTCTGCCCGTGCACCGAAGGGTCAAGGGTTCGATTCCTGGTCGAGGGCATGTATCTGGGTGGCAGTTCATTCCCTGCCCCTGTCGGGGCACCAACCAGTGTGCCTTCAATGTCTCTCCTCCCAGCCCCCCTTTCCATGTTCCCTGAAAAGCAATGGAAAAAATGTCCTCACGTGAGGGCGGAACAAAGTGAAAGCACTCCCGTGGCCCCGGCAGCCGGGTCCCTCTCAGGCTCGAGCTGGAGCGCCCCGCCCCAGAGGGGAGCCGGATGCCCACACCCCACAAAGCAGCGGGGCCTGGGCTCGTGGGACAGCCGGTCCACCTGCCGGCGGTTCCAGGGGCTTTCCTGCTCCTTGAAAACCAAACACCGTGAAAACCTGACAGGTGAGCAGGCTCCAGCCGGGACGGCCGAGCCCGGCAGCCCCAGGAGAAGCGGCGCCCGCAAGTCGCTGCTGTTGGTACAGAGGCCCCATCCTGGTCAGTACGTTCGGCCGCACGCCTGGCGCTGGACCCACGGGCTCCGGCAGCAGCCACAGGGTCCCGGATGCAGGTCAGGTCAGTCTCCCTTCACGACCCCATGAGGGCTGTGTACAGTCCTGCACACCTTCCCCCAGGTAACTCAACCCCACTTCGCCAACCAGACTGGAATGGTTTTATTTAAAGCCCACGGCTACTTGGGGAACAAGGAGCGCGGGAGCAGAGCCACGTGGTGGGCGAGGTACACTCGGCTGCTCTCCGGCCCGAGGACGGAGCCGCCGGCAGCAGCGCTCGTGGTCAAGGCAGAACGTTCATTAAGATTTTCTACGACTCAGGACATGAGACAAAATTCTGAGTCGCGATCTGCGGCGAGGGCTGGTCCAGCAGCCGTGCCTGGGATGGGTCAGCACCGGACGGCACCAGCCCTCACTCAGACCCACAGCTGCACGGGCCCCGTCTCAGAACACGGAGGGGTGGCCACAGGGAGCTCGGTCACCTGACAAGCTCAGACTGCGTTGTGATGGCAGAGGCCACTCCGGGAGAGGACGCAGGTCGGGTGGAGCCTTCAGACCGCCCTCAAGCATGGCCTCCCGAACTGGCCCTGGCTGGAGAGGCCAACAGACCGGGAGCAGGGCAGCCACTGCGAGCCTCAGGCCTCCTCCGGGGCCCCGGGCAGCTCTCTGAGCTGGCGGCTGTGGCCCACCCGCAGGGCGCCCCCCGCGGCCTGGCGCAGCTGGGCGTCCAGGGCGCTGTGGAGGTCGCTGACCTGCACAGCGTGCAGGGAGTCGAAGCTCATGATGACCCCCTCGTTGGGGACCGGTCCCTCGTCGTCTACAGGAGCCACGTCCCGCCGTCTCCTCCTGAGGTCGGCGCCGACCTGAACTTTCAGGTCCCGGTTAGGTTTGACATTGTCCAGCTTCTGAGCCCCGGGCACGGCCTGTTGGGGCCCGAACTCAGGGTCTGGCTTCTGCTCGGGCTCCTGGGCAGCGGCGTCTTGCCTGGGGGCAGGCACATGGTCCCCGCCCAGGGCCTCCTTTTTTGCCTCTGGGTGCCCTCCCGGGGCCCTGGCGGAGACAGCTCGGTGTTCCGGCTGCTGTAACGCAGCCTGGGCCACGGGGGCTGCTCCTTCCGACCGGCTGGGCAGGCCTGCGGGTCTCCGGTCTTGGCGCACTTGCTGGGGCTGCACTGGAGGGTCCCCAGCCCCTGCCCTGGCTCCCCGGGCACCTGCCGCTTCCGGAACATGGGCACCAGCGGCTGCTGCCTCCTTATGGGATTTGTTCCTCTCCTGAGAGCCTCCACCAAGAAGGTCCGGACCCTGTCCAGGGGCGTCCCCAGCGTCAGGCTTCTCTGGGCTCCTGGGGGCCCCAGCGAGATCGGGCTCTGGAGCCCCGTCCTGCACACCTGCCGCATGGGGCTCGGCGTCCGGCTGGTCTTCCCTCGGCTTTGTGTCCACACCGCCTGGAGGACTGGCGGGGGCTCTGCCTGCAGCCCCCTTGGGCTCCTGCAGGGAACGCTGGCTGTGTCCCTGGGGCGGAGCGGGGGGCTGCCCGGGAGCCCTGAGCTCAGGTTCCAAAGGCTGCAGGGGGGCGTGCACCACCGTCTCCCCGTCATGGGCCTCCTGCTCCTTACTCCTGGGTGCGGCCACCCCAGGCTCGGCCGGTGCGTCCACTGTAAGCGAAGGGATCCGTTTAGCCAAGAAATGAGCAGAAGCCACTGATGCCAGGATTGAAAGGAACAGAACTCGCCACAGACACGTGCCCCACGAAGCAGAAGACGCAGCCTCTCCCCAGCAGCCTTCCTTCAGCCCCCCTGCCCCCCCCCGTCCCCTCCCCCCCCGCACTTGCCATCCTCGCCGTCCGGCCGCTGCTGGTGCATCTCCTTGTGCTGCTCCTCGATCACGGCCAGCAGCTTCTCCTGCTGGTCCAGGAGGCGCTTCTGCTGCTCCTGCTGCTCCCTGATCACCTGCAGCAGGACCTCGTGGTCCAGCCGCTCCACGCGGCCGGCATCTGGGGAAACACCGTCCGAGCCTGTGCCGCCAAGGCCAGGATGCCAGGCGCGGCAGGACCCTCCCAGGATGCCCTCGGGTGTGCCGCCCCCTGCTGGTCTAGGAGGCAGAGGGGCTGCCAGGGCTGTTCCCGGGCACGGCCTGGGGGTCGGACACCCTGGCAGAGACCAGGCACCCCAACTCGCCCATGGGGCCCCGGCCAGGCAGCACCGTGTCCCCTGGGCTGTGGTTAAGCTGGAAACTTTGGGAAAGATGGCGGCGCCTGCAGGACAGCTCCTCCAGGTGAGGGTTTTGAAAACAAACAGAACTGCCTGCTTTCGGGGGACAGGCCGCACACAGAGTCCCCAGCACAGGCTGCAGGCGCCGCCAGGTGTGCCCAGGGGAGGCACGAGGCTGGGCACCTGCAACTGGAGCCTCCACGGGGAAGGGAGCGCCTCCCTCCGCGCTCCAACACGGCGAGCTGCTTCCTGAGCGGCGTGCAGACGTGTGACTGGGCAGAGGTGCCGGTGGGCACGCTCACACGAAGGAAGGGCCAACAGCCCAGCCATGCCCGCCTGGCAGTGGGGGGTCGGCCTTCCCCCAGGGACTGCAGGGGTCTCCCGCTGGAGGGGGCGCAGGATGTGCAGGCAGTGTCCTGAGGGAACAGGCTAAGGCTGCCCACGGGGAGGACGGGGCCACGGGAAGAAGGGAGGTTGGGAGGACAGACCCTCAGCAGGGGCCCACCCAGATACCCTGGGCACCGGGACACCTGCCTAGGCCAAGCCACAGCCGTGGACGAGGTCTGGACCCGCACTCCCCTTGGGTGAGGGAAGCACACGGACCAACCAGCCACCGTGGCCACGGGCCACCTGTCACTCAGCACCCGTGGCTCATGACCGTGTGCTGCTTGGTGGTACAAGGCTGGCCCCATGGGGTCCCAGGCGGGTTCTGGAGGTGCCGGCCCCACTGCCCCACTGGCTCCCAGAGGACCAGCCCTGCACCCACGCTGGGAGGGGCCGCACAGGACAGACATGAAGCAGAGGGAGGTGGCATGCTGTGCCCCAGCCGGAGCCCACGGGGACCACCTGCAGACGGGTGGGAGCTGCCGAGGCTCACACACATGCAGAACGTATGAACACAGGCCATGCACACGGCACAGGTGACACCACCCCTCCCCCTGAGGCAGGGCCTCTAAGGACTGCGGAGCCACCTCAGGGCATCTGTACGAGAAGGGGGTAAGTTGGGGCGTCGGGGACCCCAACTGGGGCTGGAGGCTGGTTGTATGTGCACCTTCCGGGCTCTGCCCACATGCTCCATGCCGGGCCGTCACGGGACCGTGTGCCCGCGCAGCCCTGTGCTAGGACCCCTGACCCTCGCGCCTTCACTGGGACACGCCCCTGCGTCCGTACCTGCTACTAGCTTTTTGATCTCAGCTGCGCATCCCGTTGGAGGCATAGAGAGAGGCAGAGAGGAGCGTGAGAAGTCTCTCCTCGGAGGGAAAGTCAGAGAACCACAGCGAGGTGGGTGCTCAGGCACCAGGACGCAGGGAGACTGAACCCAGAGGCCAAGCAACGCGGGGCCGGGAAGGTCACCCCAGGGAGCCAGGCCCTGGGCCCGATGCCACACCTGCTGGCTGCCAGGCCACGTGTGTAGACCCATGAGCACACCTGCTCTGAGGGTCACGGCAGGGGTCCCGGAGAGCCACACGACAGGCGGCGGCTTTGTAAGGGGAGGAAGGGGACCAGGGTCCCAGGGCAGTGGCGGTGGCAGAGAGAGAGCAGGGCGGGCGGCTGGCTCAGCCTTCGGTCGGCAGGACACTGGGAAGCACTGAGGCCCGGCACCTGCAAAGCCCCCAGACAGCCCTGGCCTCTCCCGCCGCTCGGGGTCTGCGCGGAAGAGGCAGGTGTCCCCTGGGCCCGCGAGGGTGTGGTGAGCAAGTCAGGCCCTTACCCTCCAGCTTGCTGCCGGCGGGGTCCCCGGCCGGGCCCTCCGCGTGCTCCCCAGGCTGGCCCTCCGAGCTCCTCTGCCCTCGAGGCTCCGCCGGCTGCCCGGCCCTGGGGGCCGGCTTCCCACCTGCACACACAGTGACACACGCTTGCCGGCCACTCGGAAGGGGGACACCGAAGGTGGAGGAGGGGCCGAAGGTGGCAGATGGTTCCTAAAAGGACCTGCACTCCGCCCCTCCCTCCCGTCAGCAGTTTACGGGAAGTCCTAACACACATTTACCCACTTCCCGGCCCTGGCTGCGAGCCGGCGCTAACCTGGCCGACTAACAGGTGAGAGCCGTCAGGCTGCTCTGAGCTGGTGCGGGACAACCTGGCAGCTGGCACCCGCCAAGCGCTCGCGCACCGTGCACAGGACACAGGAGCAGCCGGGCCTGACGCTGGTGGCCTGGCGAACACGTGTGACTGTTGCAGCGGCTGCCAAGCCACAGGCTCCCCGCACACCTGCCTCACGAGGAGGGAAACCCGACAGGCCAGGCTGGGCCCTTCCAGGCAGGCCCGCTCCCC